CTGCTCCTTCACAACGCTGAAACCTCCCAGCAGTGTGAAGGAGCAGAGCTCAAATCCTGAAGATTTGAGCTTCATTCCTCCAGCCCCAGGGAGGATTTCCCCTCTATCTACGGAGGGGAGGGCAAACCCTTCAGCGGGCTTTAGGAATGTTTGAGAGCAAAAGGGCTGCCTGCTGGGAGGATTTCAGCTCTACGCTGAGCTGAAATCCTTCAGCAGTCAGCTCTTCAGCTCTGTCCGCTTAACAATGGCAACCACGAGTGCCCAGATTGCAGTTGTTGAACGAAGTAGTCATGTGGGCGTCTCGCTTAATGACCACTTCGCTCAACAAATGAGATTCCGGTCCCAATTGTGGTTGCTAGGCAACGACAACCTGTAATCTCCAGGGACTTCTCAGATACTAGGCAATTACTTTTTCATATTGATACTTCACATGCTGAATAACTTTGTTAATGGAATAAATAAAAGTAGCAAGCATTGTTGTTATTTATTTAGACTCCCTATATAAATGTGGCCCACATGAAGTTCTGACAACATATAGGGTCAAAGACATGCAAACATTGAGAAAACTCAAAAGAGAGTGAATGCTTTTGCACAGAACCAAACCTGTAACAGAATATGAAATGATTATTATTGCTAAATCCAGTTTCAAATATGTCTGGGCATAAGTCAATAGAAAAACACTCTACCAAAACTCACTTTAATCCACAGTGGATTCTTGGTCCTACTTATAGCTTAAACATTAATTCTTTAATTAATTTAATTAATTAATTAAATGCAATTAATTAATATTGGAAGGATAAACATATGGTCCCAAATGATTTGCAGAGCTGATGTTATTAGCAACATACAAACTACTTATCGATGTAGATTAGCAACGCCAAAGAATGCTCAAACTATCGCACAATTGCACTCATTTCACATGCTAGCAAGGTTATGCTCAAAATCCTACAAGCTAGGCTTCAGCAATACATGAACCGAGAACTACCGGATGTACAAGCTGGGTTTCGAAGAGGCAGAGGAACTAGAGATCAAATCGCCAACATTCGCTGGATCATGGAGAAAGCACGAGAGTTCCAGAAAAATATCTACTTCTGCTTCATTGACTATGCAAAAGCCTTTGATTGTGTGGATCACAACAAACTGTGGCAAATTCTTAAAGAGATGGGAATACCAGACCACCTTACCTGTCTCCTGAGAAATCTGTATGCGGGCCAAGAAGCAACAGTTAGAACCGGTCATGGAACAACCGATTGGTTCAAAATAGGGAAAGGTGTACGACAAGGCTGTATACTGTCACCCTGCTTATTTAACCTATATGCAGAGTACATCATGAGAAATGCCAGGCTGGAAGAAAACCCTGATTGCTCATTGGAAGGATCGATAATGAAGCTCAAGCTCAGATACTTTGGTCACCTAATGCGAAGAGAGATCTCTTTGGAGAAGACCCTGATGCTGGGAAAGATTGAAGGCAAAAGGAGAAGAGGACGGCAGAGGATGAGATGGTTAGATAGCATCACTGAAGCAATGAGCATGAAACTGAGCAAACTCAGGGAGGCAGTGAAGGACAGGAAGGCCTGGCGCAATATGGTTCATGGGGTCACGAAGAGTCGGACACGACTTAACGACTAAACAACAACAACAATTACTAACTGAAATGCTTACGCAGAATTTTCATTATATGTCTTTGTGAATATATATACCCATTAGATTTGGTTTTCTTTCCTTCTAGTTTTTTTGAGAGGGTTGTGGAGGTTGTTTGTTTGCAATTGTTGTTTGCTTTTTTAAATTGTTATTTACTATATTCAATTCATAGAAGCAAAAAAAATTGTTTTCAGAAACTCACTTTAATCTTATGTCAGTCAAGGAGATCTCTAAAGGTGCTTCGAGCTGTTGAAAAACAAAAGGCAGCTTTGGGTTATTATGAAGCCCTAGTGGAGAGGATTAGAAAGCAATATTATTTCAAGCATAACTGGGAAAAATGATTCAACAGATTTTATTTGATTTACTAGCAGTTCCTGTAAGACATGAATAGGTAGGAGCAAATTGTTGAGTCCTTGGGGTTCTCTGAGTTTGGTTCTTTTCTTGCAAGTGTTTCATTACCCGGCTAGGTAACATCTTCAGTGCCAAATTGGGATCCCATTTTAGCACTGAAGATGTTACCTAGCTGGGTAATGAAACGTTTGCAAGAAAAGAACCAAACTCAGAGAACCCCAAGGACTCAACAATTTGCTCCTACCAATAGAGGCAAATATGTGTAGCTCAGGGTTGAACTGTGGAGTCCTTGGGGTTCTCTGAGTTTGGTTCTTTTCTTGCAAGTGTTTCATTAC